AAGAAAAAGAACAGGCCTAATAGACAAGCCTGGGTCAACAAATACATTGTAACATCAAGCCATCAACAAGGACAAACAAGAAGAGCTCCTCTATCAAAAGCCAAATACCGATCTGCAGAACACTCAACAAATGTCGCACACCAACTTGACTACAACTATGTATACTTCAAGGAACCTTAGTAAGGCTTCAGGGCATTGTGCTCCCCTATTTCTAAATGCCCCTCAAAAGGAGAAAGGATTAAAAAAAGGTGAATTCTTTACACCCCCCGCCCCCCACCCAAATAAAAAGAAGATGATAAATTGCCGGCTGCTGCAGGGGTGGTTTCTTTACCAAAAAGTAGGTCTCCAACTATACATGAAGCAAAATATGTTCCAAAACCTCATCATAAGATGTAAAGACCTCCAAGGGGAAAAAGAGAAATGATGTACTCAATCAGGTTCATTTTAGAATCGGTTTACTAACAGAAAAGTACTAAACACATAAAATACAAGAAATGAGCATGCTTCACCATCAGATATTTCATAATCACAAATGATAACTTCCATTATGGTAGCTAAATAACTGGGTATCCTCTGCCCATTCCAAAACATAGGCAACACCACAACTAGTGGCCACATAATGTGCAGACAGAGATCTAGCAGGGTCTATATGCCCAGCTACTTGACAGAGATCTAACAGGGACTATATACCTATATATGTAGCACATTTGGTTTCTTTATTGTGAAATGTGGCACATGTGTTTATTGTTAAATGTGGCACATTTGAGTCAGAGCAAAGAAAGCCCATTATATGACAACTCTCAGTTCATCGATACAATAATTTCAGATTCCGTATGTTCTGATTTCTATTCAAAATCTTGTGCTTGTCATGCTAAGTATAATAAGGTCGAAGACAGTTTTTTTTTTCTTGCAACAAAGTTCGCTGCTACATATCAACAATTAATCACGAGAAAGAATTTTTCCTGATATAGTTACATAAGGAATTTATCATCAAATAAGTGGATGGATGGATGGAAATTTCTACAAGTATGGCAGCTATTGATCACATCAGCAACTTTATGTTAGGAAAGAATGAAAGCTTAGATATCCAGAAGAGAGACACTTCTATACACTCTTTTTCCCAATCTGCACAAACACCTTTATACACTTATAAGTAGAGAAAAATAAAGAGCAAAACTTAAAATAGACTTACATGAAAATCACCATGAAGAAGCACAAGTAAAGAGACAAGTGGAGCAAGTCTCGGATAAGTTCTAAGTAGAAGGTATAGACAGGCTTATTCTCCCATTGTCCTTCCATAAGCATGTCACTTATGTAGAAGACATATTTTACAAACGTTGAGACAGTTGTTGTTGCAAGTATCATGTACCTGAATCATTACCAAAAAGAAGTTGCTCTTCATTAGGGAGAAGGATATAGGATACTGTTAACGTAATCATACTGCAGTTAGGGAAAACACAATACGAGAAGTAATCAAGTTCAAGAATATATTTCCCAGCAATTACAGATATGATACATGAATCAGGTAAGTGTTAATAAATTCATTGATATAACAATGTAAATATGTGCGTGAAAAAAGATTTCAAACTAATGAGTCATTTATTATATTATACATTGTAAGATATCAAATCTAACTAAGAGAATCGAAAATTGGGTGTACTAAAATTTTTACCTTATTAAGATTTATAAGGTAGTTTTACATGAGAAATGAGATGAGACTGCAATTCCAAGAGACTTGACATCAATCCAGCCTAATAATAGACAAAACAGGTTTCTAAACCCATATGAGCTATAATATTGCAGTTCTAACAAGTATACATAAACTACAGCAGTTTGCATCAGCTTTGAAGATAAGCAGAGTAGGAACTGCATAAAGAAAATAGCACACGGAGATCAAAAACCTAATTTCATCTTTGCCAACGTGTCAGCAAACGTACACACGATACAACCCCATGCCCCAACCAAGTGATTTTTGTAAGGCATAAAACATAAAATATGGAGGCCCTTGATCTAATAAATCACTAACAGCTCTAGTTTCCCTTGGAATATCACAGATAATCACGAATCTAGTTTATAAAAGTGAAGGACAAAACAAAAAGTAAATCGGTGTGATTTTTTGTTCTCTCTCTTTTGGTTTCACAGCGGCAGCGAAAACACCACTAACTAGCAGTGGAGCTCAAGGAGCACATATTAACCAAAAAGACAGCAACAACAGTGAGTAGGAAGAGTTTGACTTACTCAAAGGCAAAGAAGAGAGAAACAGATGCCTGTCTCGTCTGTATCAAATAGTTCATCGAGTCGTACAAAAAGAGACTGTCTATGAATAGGAGAAAGCCCAGGAAGGATACTATGCGAATGTGGGACAATCTAGTAACAGTAGGAGTTGTTTCAATGTACTCAACTCTCTTTTGAGCCAACCAGTGCAAACCCTTGATAAGCAAGAGTGCAGTTACCATTGCAAGAAAGGTAACAGAGAAATCCTGCCGAAAAATTGTGATGGCAAAAAGTATTTCCATGAGTTCCCGCCAAGACTGTTCATTCAGCCTCTCCACCTCAGCCTCGCGAAGTGGACCAAGGAAAATTTTCTTTGTCATCTGCCACAAAATGCACATGACAACAAGACCCATATTGAGAAGAAGCACAAGACTGATCTTGGACGTCGACAGATAAACCATTGCTGGGTAAAATTGTCCTCTGCTATTAAAGGCATGATAAATAACAGCCAGTGTAGCTATTAAGCTAAGCCCCGCATAAGTTTGTAACCTCATCATCTCCTATAATTCCTGTCAATAACAAAAGTTCCAAAACAGATCAACAGAAGGAATATATGTCTATCCATACATTACAAGTGTTAAAGGTTCCACTTTTAGGGCATTCAAACAAGACAAAATATCAAACCTATGCGTCTTTTTAGATCGATTCCACCAACTATTAGGGTACAAACCTAATCACAAAAATTAGGAAACAGAGATAATAAGTTTAAGGATAATTGTGAGATTTATAGACTCTCTATGACCCAAATACATATCTTCAGTAACGTTTTGAATGAATTGGACACGAATAAAGCAAAATTAATGGATATATAGGATTTATATAGCTAACTCAACTAATTAGGGATATGACTGATCGATTGATTGATTGAAGATGCAAAACAACAAACAATGTGTAACGAAACACTACATAGATCAATTTACCTGTGAAGTCTCTGTATCGTTGCGAAGATCCTGAATCCTTAGCTATTCACGATTTCATACATGAGTACCTGAAGAAAATAAATTTGGTAGCCATGGGAGAAGGTGAATAAGGAGGAAGAATCGTCATCAAGGGAGAATTAGCCAATTGGTATTCGCCACGTCGGTATTTAAAACGCACAATTTGACCCGACCCGGTAAATAAATTGGGTAGAAAAAAGATAAAAGGTTCTCGACATTTATTTAGTTGTTCAAACTCTAGGAGGCTAATTTTGGGAAAAAGTTAATTGCCAACCAAAATATATTTTGGAAAAATTACGTAAATTAATACATTTTTAAAAGTAATTACTGATTTTAGCAATACTTTTTATTTATTATCATTTATAATAATATTGTGATAAATCTGTAATATGTATTAAAAGTGAATTATTTATATACTATATTTGAATTATAATTGTTTTTGAAATATATTATGTTAGTTTGGTAAAAAATTATCACATTGTATTATAAGAGTATTAAAATGTGTGATAAATGTATTATCCATATTAAAATTTGTATTATATTTGAATAATAAATTTATCTTTGTAATATGTATTAAACTTGTATTATAGATGAATTAAAAATGGTCAAGTTAAAAAAAATATTATTGCTATAACTGGTAAGTATTTTTTATTATAGTATATTTATGTAAGTTTCCCGGAAAAATTACATAAATTAATATATTTTAAAAAATAATTACTGATTTTAGCAATATTTTTTGTTTATTACCATTTATAGCAATATTGTAATAAACGTGTAATATGTATTAAAAGTGAATTATTTATGCAATATATTTGAAATTATAATTGTTTTTGAAATATGTTGTGTTTGTTTGGTAAAAAATAGTCACATTGTATTATAAGTGTATTAAAATGTGTGATAAATGTATTATCCATCATTAAAACTTGTATTATATGTGAATAATAAATTGTTCTTAATAATATGTATTAAATTTGAATTATAAATGATTAAAAATGATTAAGTGAAAAAAAAATATTATCACTATAAATGATAAATATTTTTTTATTATAGTACATTATGGGAAAATTGTATATAATAGCAAACTAATAACCTAAATTAAATAGAATAGCTGGGGTTTGATTTAATTGTGCTTCATAGCAAACATTAGCTAAAATTTGTCAGCGTCTCTCTCCCAAAAATCTCGCTCGCCACTCTCCATTCTCGCTTTATACACAGAAGTGTATAATTTTGTTTTTATTTTGTATAAAGCGAGAGAAAATTGTATATACACATGCAAAAATGTATATCTTCGTGTTATACACTTAATTATACAATTGCGAATCATACAATTGCAGTGAAATACAATTTTCTCTAGCTTTATACAACAGAAGTGTATATATTGCGTTTCTGTTTTTGTATAAAGCGAGAAAAACATATATCTTCTTGCTATACACTTATAATTATGCAATATACATACATTTTAATTCGATTCAACTGTATGCAAAACAAATTATGCAATTGCAGCGAAATAGGCCAATGAATTATACAATTTAGGCCAGCGAATCATACAATTTAGGCCAGCGAATTATACAATTGTATATGTATAGCAAATTATACAGTTTTATGTTTGCTATGGAGCGCAATTATGCAAAGTTTGTTATAACATGCAAATATGAATTTTTCGTTTGCTATATGTGGAAGTTGCCCTTTTTATAAGTTTCCCCGTCATAAATTCGAATCTAATTTCGTGAAATTCTCCCATCTACAAAATTACCGGCCCAATTTTTTCTCAGCCCATTTGTCTCCAAACGGGTTCGAAGCGAGTCAGTATCTCGGATCCAACTCATTCGGGCCCATACTGTTTTCATAGGAGCAGGCGAATCTCGGCGTCTGTTTACAGAATTCAGAGAAGGAAGCTGAAGAGAAGAGAATGGCGTCTGTGGTGAGAAGCATTTTCCAGTCGATTAAGGAAAAGGGGATCGGAAACTTCCTCAAGGAGCTTAAACAAGAAGGATACGTGTTGGTTTTCTTGCCTTTTATTCATCGGTGTTTGCAAATTGCACTCCGTAAATTTTGAAAATCTGATATGCATCTTTTTTTTTTTCAATTTGATTCCGCTATCTTAATCTGAAATTGATCTTTCGTGCCGATTATTCCCATTTAATCTCTTGTTGCTATCTCAAGTTTGAGAATGAAAGGGTTTGAAATCTCTGTTGTTTGGTTTATCATTAGTAATTTGTTGAAAATGATTTCGTTTGGATTTGTTATAACAAGAACAATGAGATATACATTGAGATGAAACCTATTTTTTTATTACATAACATGAAATGTTTTTGGTAAAATGGTTTGGTGTTTTTTGATTCATTATGTAAAAACGTTATTATCCTATGTTTTGAGTAAACTTGTGATCTCTATTGATTTTTGTTTTTTTTGAATAACCAACTTGAACCTATCCCATTTCCCAACTAGTTTCAGATTAAGGAGCAATTGTCACTATCACTAGCTTAAACTGACTTAGTTCTGCTCTTAAAGTGACTAAAGTAATTTTGATGTTATGACCTATTCTAGCATTTTGGGGCATTATCTTTTTTGTGATCAAAGTAAACTTGCTTGTTTGGCTCTCCATCACTGTTATTATCAGTTGAAAACATTTACACTTCTTGTTTTTATGTTGTTTAATTAATCTGAAACTCTCAGCTGATTACAAATTTCCTCTTGCATTTTACTAGGAGGTGTCTCGCGGATGGAAATCTTCTGTAAGTACCATTTAGCTCCATTTCTAGTTAATTTCTGTAAAAAGACCCTTGAAATGATAAATGCATAACTGAACGATTTTATTTGTCAATGGGGGTAAATTAGGGAGTTGACTTGTTTGTCTTTATGAACATGTTCAATACATGGAGTTCTGTTATGCACGAGGTCACATAATTAACTTAATTAAAAAAAGGTACCAAAAATATACAGTGGTCTATGGTGTTGTTAGCTATAAGTGTTACCATCTACACTAGTGATTACTGGTTGAACAATTGAAAAGAACTGTTCATTCTGTTTATTTGTTTTGGGTTGCCTGAATTCTGTCTGACTTGAGCTAAGAAGATGACAGTATTAAATATGGGCTGTGGATTTTTTCTCTAAGATTTGTGGTGGTTGAGGGATTGGTCCATCATGACCTCTTTGTTTGTCCTATTTCTATATGCTGTTTTGCAAGGGTGGTTTAGAACTTTTAGATTCTCTCCCTCTATTGTTGCTGAACTTTTCCATAGTACACATTGCCATACAACTAGACTATCTCCTCCTTTGGCTAGGGTGTTACCTTCAAAGGTTCCTTCCACGTAAATATTGGTGTGGTTTTATCTAACACTTAAATGTTGTTTGTTGCGTTCCATCTGCTTACATTTTTTGAAAGTGTTTGGTGGGCAGTGAGATGGGCAGTGGTTAGTAAACAGTTTAAAGTTTGATATGTTCAATCTTTTTGTTCATGATTGGCACTCGTATCACGTATGTATGAGCTATAGTTTTTCATTCATTCTTCCTTGCAATGTGGTATATTGAGGAGAATAGGAGCACAGTGGCTAGAGTTGGATCCCGGGTTTGAAGTTTACGGGGTCCTAAAACAACTTCAAGTTAATACTAATAATATTAATTGGCTTCACTATCAATTATTTATGGATCTTTTATAGGTTATTAATATATATATATATATATATATATACACACACACACAAGATCTGGTCATAAGCTACTAAATTCATGTGAACTTGAAATGACCCTCTAGATTTACCCCTGTCAAGGACCAAATACTTTTACATGCACATGACTTTAGACCATGATGGGCAAAGAGCATTACAAGCTCTTTTGCGTGTCTAGCCTCTTTTAGTTTTCGTCTGTGGCTCTAAATGTCAGTATAGTCTGTGATTGACTGTAGTAGAACTCAGGAAGAAAGTAAAATTAAGAAAAATTGAATGTCTGGTTACTGAAGGTTTTTACTCTCAAACACTCCACGGTTACCGATGAGTCTATCGGTAATGTGCTAAAGAAATCTTGCAATATCAGGAAATAGATTGGAACTAAAACCCCAGTTACAGTGCATTTATTTCTAACAGAGCCAAATGCATCAGAAAAATCCACACCAGTTAAGAGTTTTGTTCTTTATTATTTGGTGCATTATCTTATAATCCAGGACTGAGGGTTATCTTGGGAGGGATAGACAATACCCTTTTTAAAATTAATTTTAGGAAAACCTTTTAGTTGACCTTTGTTGTGCAGTCTAGTTATCTTTAGACTCCAGTGATACTTTCCATTTGTCCGAATACTGGAGTACATTCGTAAACATTTATATCTTCAGAAGAAGATTATTATAAAAAATGTTTATCGTAGGAAATAGGTGAAGCCTTCTTTTTTAGAAAGCTACCCCAGAATGTACATCTTAGGCCTTAGCACATTTCCTCTTTCTTTTGACTAGTCTTCAGCATCATCTCTTGAAACACATCAAAAACAATTGATAGAAGCTATTGAAACTGGACATGGATATTGAAAGCTAATTGCATCAACAACTTTAGTCTTCACAATGATCACATCTGAAGTTGTTGAAAGCCACGTGATGCTCTTATGTGCTATGTGCGTGAATTTATTGTTATGTTGGATGGATAGGATAGATGCATATGCATACATTTGTAATTGGGATTGTTTTATTTGTATCCCAGGATCCGAATCTTGACTACATTTTCTTTGTTGTTGGTGGTTGTTTTGTCATTTGATGAGAAAGGAAATAGGAGGGAATCTGGTAAAGGAGGTTGTGGAGACCGATCCATTACAGGCTTCCCAAATGGTTCCTAAATTTTACACTGTAACATCTCTCTAAATTTGAGACACTAATTTCAACAGTGGCCACCAATGAAATTTTAGTGGGAGATAGGGAGGGGATGAAATCCCTTGTATTGTCTGCTTTTCCTGGTTTTGATTGTCTTGAGTTTTTGTTATTAATAACCAGTTCCTCTCTGAATAATGACCATATGAGCTAACATTAGTAAGACAAGGAGTGATTCTCAAGTATAATTCTTTTTCTTCTATATATATATTTAGCTCATTTTTCATTTTTTTATGTGATATGAAGATGATATACTGATTTGATCTGAGCTCTCAACTTGTTATTGAGGCGTAGTTGTGGTCGTTGTTGTAGCTGAAAATTGCAACTCTCTGACTTCTCCTCACATTAAAAGAAAGATCAAAATTAGGGGGAAAATTATTACGATCTCCTTCTTGTTTCTCCTCTTTTGTGTGAATTTTAAGATTTTTCAACTCATTGCTTTCATGCTTACAGAACTGCTGTATAATACATGCCTGAGTAAGACAATATTTTTCCTTAGCAAGGTATTAGTGAGGCCATCAAAAGACCTTGCCACATCTCTTTCTTGTTAAAGCGATTTCCTGAATTTGTCCATCTAAGATACTATTTGTTTCTTGTTGCTTCAGGCAAACCAAGATCCACAACATTGGTGCAACACTTGTTGGTGTGGATAAATTTGGTAACAAATATTATGAGAAGCTAGGCGATACACAATATGGTTGGTACAGCTGCTTCATGCTTTTGTGTGTCTTAATCAGTTTCCCTTGTACATATCACTTCTCGTTATCTTGTTTGATACTAGTGCCACAAAATGTATCTTCAAGGTTGTGGGTTCCTTCATGTATCGCCTAAAAGTTGAGGGTTCTATCATTTGGTTGTATTATCTTATGCTCTGAATATTTTCCCCTAAGGTGATCAAAGGAAAGGCTTTATGTAGCCACATATAAGAAAAGGTTATATTTCCCTTGTTCTAGGTAAAAGAGAAGGATTTCTTGTTCTTTATTCACGGAGTAGGTTATATTTTTCTTGTTCTATGTAAAAGAGTAAAGGTCTCTTGCTCTTTATTCACAGTGTGGTTCAATTGATCTGCTTCAGTCTGTGACTCTACTAATCTCTCTTGGTAGAGGATATTAACTTTACTGGTGGCTTATTTGTTTCATTGTGTGAAATAATAGTTTTGGCCTAGTTAAACATGCTTTCTAGGTCGTATTGTGAAGCTTGACTACATTTTCAACTTCTAGAGATATGTTAATATTCTTTAAGACATTAAATGGATAACCTTAAGGTTAATAGTTTGGAGTCTCATCGCCCTTAATCTCCAAGTATAGTGGAATGAAGTAATGCCTGTAACCCAAATTTGGGAGACCTTAGACCTCAGTGATTTATTTGCTTATTTTGTTTTGATGATTGCTCAAGTAAAAGCCTCTTTTTTTGACATGATTATGTAGGAAGACACCGGTGGGTGGAGTATGCACAGAAGAATCGTTACAATGCTTCACAAGTTCCACCAGAATGGCATGGCTGGCTCCATCACGTCACTGATCACACTGGTGATGAAGTAAGTGTTGACAAGTTCTTTCTGATGCATAACCCCACCATTTCAAAATTCTTATACTACATGCCATGCAGCTGCTACTGCTGAAACCAAAGAGGTACGGGATTGAGCACAAGGAGAACTTTTCTGGTGAAGGTGATGCATACATATATCACTCCAAGGGACACACTTTAAATCCTGGACAGAGAGACTGGACTAGGTACCAAACTTGGCAACCCACCAAGAAGTAATAGGTCTCAACTGCCATAGTGCAGCTGGACAATTATATGGATTTTCTGCCATGCTTCGTTAATAAAAAAGTCCTCGTATTGAACCTTTGGTTATAATCTAAGCACATGTGTACCATCAAATATCAGGTCGATACACTTTGCTGTACAATTTCTCATCTTTGATATGGTTCTCAGGTTTTGAATTGGATCCAAAATGTAGTCATGCATACTTTATTCCATCGCCGGGTTTGAAGTATGATTGTTATTTTTTTTGAAACTAAAGCTATTCAGTGATATGTTATGTTATATCCCATAGGAATTGAAAATGGTGGATCGTGCTGGGGAAGACCAAATGCATTGAATTTAAATACCTTGTACAGTTTCCCCCTTCCTTTTCACTAGATGAATATCGTAGAAATATGATGGATTTTCAATTAATCTATAAGATTCTACAAGTTAGTAATGGCCCGTTTGGCCATAGATTTTTCAAATAATATTTGGAAAAAAATTGGCAAATAATGTATGTCCATATAATTTGTCATTATTTGGCAAATATTTTTAACAAATATCTCAAATTTTCAATTACTAAATTTTTCTAGTATTTGAGTCAAATCTCATTATTTGGGATCTTTTGAAAATGAAAATTTTACCCTGAACTTTTATCTTTTACAAAAACACCCTCTATAGTAGTTGTTTGCGTTGTATTACATAATTTTTTACGTGAATACCAAAATAGTGATGAAATATTTAGTAAATATAGTTGATGAAAATGATGAAAAATTGGCTTAAGGTAACAAAGTCGTGTGTTTTGTCTACTTCACGATGTACAGAATGATGCTTGTTGCAGTCACTCCAAATTACGACATCTAATTGACTTGTAATACAAACTTATAGTTAGTTTTGATAGTTCTTAAAACTTATGGGTATATAAATCATATTTTTCTGAAAAGGTGAAATATATTTACCAAATCTTATGACCAAACACATAGTAAAATTTCACCCAAATTTTTACTCAAATAATATTTGCCAAAAATATTTGAAAAGCTATGATCAAACGGTAGTTAAGTGATCATATTATTTAATAAAAGAATAGTATTCGAGATGCCTAGTGGTGTTATACGTGGACCGATGATATCATAATCATAATAACAAGTCATGGTACAACTTGTTATTTATACTCTCCAACTAACTTTTCTTTAATATGAACATTCTATGAAATTAATTTTGTTATAACTAACTTTTCTTTAAATATGATCATTCCATGAACTTTAATTTTTTTTTAAATAAGATATAAGAAAAGTAAAAGTTATAAATTTTGAAAGAATTTGGCAAGTGTGTCTTGGTGCAAGAATCACATTTTTCTTTACTTTGATATCTTGCCAATTTGTTTTCTTCAAAATTAAATTAATTTTATAGATAAAATTGAGAAGAAAATATCAAGATAATTATATAATCATATCAAATCAGTTGTCACTACAAAATAAAGATTTTTTTTACTATTCCTTTTATCTCTAATTACTTGTCGTTTTCTTTTTGAATTAGTATACCTATAGAAAACAACGATTGACCTAGTGCGTTTACCATTTTAGCTCAATTAATTATGAAGTGAATGAATTAAAAACTTTAAAGTTTCAAGAAATTGGAGGTATAATAAGTAATTTTTTTTTCTCCTTTCGAGTAGTCAAAATGAACTAGTAGGAACAACTTTAAAAAAAAAGGTGGACAAATGATTAGGAACCGAGGGAGTATTAACTATAGAATATACTCCCTCCATCCGGAAATTTTTGTCACGTTGCGCTTGTCGAAAGTCAATTTGACTAGTTTTCAAAGGTAAATTAGATCACATCAATTCGATATTTTAAACAAAAAAAATTAAACATCCCAAAACTATACGAAAAGTACTATAAATTACAATTTTTTGCATATTAATATAATTAAAAAATGCATCTTAAAATGCCAGTTAAAAATTTTATAATTTGACTCTAAAAATAGAAATCATGATAAATAATACCGGACGGACAGACTTTTAGCTATCAATACAATGTAATGAGTACAACTAAGAACCATCCAAACAATGTGTTAATTCTAACAGCCATGTCTCATCTACCATTTCAATTTTTCAGAAGCAACGTTGCTATGCTGTAGGCCTCTTCTTTGAAATCAGTCTTCTGCGTTCGTCTAAATGTATTTTCCCACCTAACTTTCCCAAAACTTATATAATAAATAGTAAAAAGAAGAGCAAATACAGTTAGCTTCGATCAATACTCTATCTAACCTGTAAGCTTAAATCTTCAATTTGACCTTCTCCAATGGCGACAGCCCACGATACCGAGCAGCTAATTGTTTCATCAATTGACAAGGTAATTCAATATTGTCCTGTAATTTTTTTTTTCTATCTATTTATTTGGGGAAAAGTGTTTTGTGCAATTTTGATGATTGTGAATTGGAGCAGGGTGAAAATTCGTCTAGTGAGATCAACATCGTCCGAGAGCCACTTCTAGAAGGCGAACATCATGCTGAGAATTACTCAGTACTCTCCGCAGTACTCCCGTGAGTATCTACTAATTGAGTTCACTTTGTAATTTGAGTCATCGAATTTAAGCATTTGGTGCTGAAACTGAACATAGTACTAGTTTCCATTTGAAATGTAACAGTAAGATGTGCTGTTTCTGGAATTGCAAGTCATTTGTTTGATGAATTGAATGCACTTTGTTTATAGCATGAAATAGGCTGAGCGTACCCCGATTGGGCTCCTGAGTGAGCAACCCAAAAAAAAGTGATAGTAATGATGTGGTATTTTCTTTTCCAAGACCCTACTTGAGGGATTACACGGGGTGGTTGTTGTTTATAGCATGACAAGATGATATCTTAAGTATATGCAGGAAAGATTTTGGCTCAATAGATTCCTCTATTAAGTTATACTTAAGTATATAATTATCCATACAAAAGAGGATCTTCTCTTTACAATTTTGAATTGTAAGTGATTTGACATTTTTTTATGTGTACTACTGGAAATACTAATATTCGTCTTTATACCCAAAGATAAACTATTCAGATGATCCACATAAATTAAAAAATTCGATGTGTTAAGAAGAAAACCAAATGAAGAAATTTTCCAGCTTCAATTTTTTTGCCTTTTTAGATATGACATGATAGACTACAAATTCACTTCGGGTTATTGCACTGCAATCTGTACACTGATAGTTGCTTAAGGTTTGGTGTTCCAAATTAAAAAGGAAAAATTAGAAAAGAAAAATATTAGTACTATGGATTTTCTATGTCCTGTGCTGATTCACTTAGTAGGATACTTATTATTATTATTTTTGATCTCTTAGTTTGAACATTATGATAAGTTGATGAATGATTTTCCAGTTTTCTGTTCCCCGCCTTTGGAGGACTGCTTTATGGTTATGATATTGGAGCCACATCCTCTGCTACAATTTCCATAGAGGTATCTTGCTTCCTTCGACCTAATAAAGAGCCCTTGTATCATATTATCAAAAAAGAAAAATAAAAGTATCCGTGTGTCTCATTACAATGTTTTTAGCTCATCTACCTTGATTTTACGTCCTCTTAGCTGATGGCATAAGGCTGTTAACAAGAATCTTTATGGGTTCTGGACCAACTTAGTACAAAAGGAGAAAGAACTGATAGTGGAGGGAACATGGAAGTTTTAGTCTTTGGCCTAGCAAGTAGGAAAAATGCCAAACTTGACATTTTATCTGTCTTTCCAGTTGCCCCATTTCAGTTGTCTAGCTTATGGTAGTTTGTAATATGTTGAAATTACTTTTGATTGTGATCAGGCTTTGACATCGTGTGTCTCAAGAAGATCTTTGCTGTTACAAAGATGTTGATTGTCATATTATAATGCATCCAGTTGAATTTCTTGTTTCTCTTCAATGACCGCTCAGAGAAATTTTTTACTATTTCAAGTTTCTATAGAAAGGTCATCAAAGTTGCTGATAGTGTACCTCTTAAATGAACTGTTGGTTTCATAATGTTTGTTAATCACATATGGTATTGTTATTCATTTTAGCAGATAGAGTTATGGTTCTAATGCGTCAAGCTATATTCTGCAGTTGCCTCATTAAATAAAAACAACTTTCACTAGTTAATGCTGCTTATATTCTTGATAGAAAAAAGTTAATGTTGTTTATATTCTGCAGTCAGCTACATTAAGTGGAATTTCTTGGTATGATTTGTCTTCTGTGCAAACTGGTCTCATAGTAAGTATACCATTTTCTTATGAAATCATATGTGCTTTTTCCTGTCTGAGCATTGGAAAGATCTTATTTTTGCTGCTTGTCACAGACTAGTGGCTCACTGTATGGTGCTTTAATTGGATCTGCTGTTGCTTTCCAAATTGCTGACTGGCTTGGTTGGTTTTTCTATCCGACCGCAATTGGTGTCACATTTCAATTGTGACTCTTGTGACTGAAACTACTTAACTTATTTATAGGGAGAAGAAGGGAGTTGATTGTGTCTGCTTTGTTCTACTTTCTTGGAGCTCTAGTAACAGCATTTGCTCCTGTCTATGTTATTCTGGTAATTGGGCGCTTGCTGTATGGTGTAGGAATTGGACTGGTAAGATACTGCAATGTCTTTAATATTTCCTTTCCATTTTCCTTATTCTACCATGGATCTTTTATTTTCTCATGTGATTTGTGATGGTGAGTTCTCAGGCACACGAGTCCGACTACTCCTTCAATTCCTTCCACTTGCTTATATCTCCTTTAAAAGTTCTCTATAGTTTACCATTTCCTTTCTTCTGTGAGGTGTCTTTCTACTTCCCCTGAACTCTGACTGGTGCTTTCACATACATGAACATCTCACTTCTATCGTTCCCCTTCAAGAGTTGTCTCCTGATTACACTCCTGAACACAGAAATGACCTCTTTTATCTTCCTTTGTTTTTTCTGCTTTGATTTGTCAAGGCATCAATTACATTAGGCCATCAAGGTCAAGTGATGAATTAAACAGTATTAACCTGAAAAGTATTTGGAAATATACTTCTTTTTAAAGATTCAATGTTCTGGTTGCTCCATTTTCTCCTTCTGTTCCATTGCAGGCAATGCATGCTGCTCCCATGTACATTGCTGAGACGGCTCCTAGCCAGATACGAGGACAACTGATTTCTCTTAAAGAGTTCTTCATAGTTTTTGGGATGCTAGTAAGTACTACATACTTGCCTGGAAATTCTGGTTTGTCTATATGACCGTTAATGTAGAGACAGGTGATCTCTAGATATATATTTCATGGCATCATTATTTGTTGTACAGCATTCTTTTGAATTGTGGAAAGCTGACATTTGTAGGCTGGATATACAGTTGGAAGCCTTCTGATAGAAACTGTTGCTGGTTGGCGATATATGTACGGAATTAGTGCCCCTTTAGCAGTTATTATGGGAATTGGAATGTGGTGGCTTCCTTCATCACCCCGGTGGATTCTTCTATGTGCTATGCAGGGGAAGGGTGAGTTGCAGGGTTTAAGAGAAAATGCCATATGTTGCTTGTGCCAGCTTAGGGGAGCTGCAATTGGTGATTCAGCATCTCGTCAAGTAGATGACATTCTGTCTGAGCTTTCACAACTAAGCGAAGAAAAAGAGGCGACAATAGGTGAGATGTTGCAAGGAAAATGTTTGAAAGCCCTAACAATTGGTGCTGGACTAATCTTGTTTCAACAGGTAGCTATATATCTAATAGTTTAATTTCCGTTCCACTTGCAATGATCTAACTGTGCACTCACTTCTTTTGCTTTCCACATGGCAGATAACTGGGCAACCAAGTGTCTTGTATTATGCTGCAAAAATATTTCAGGTACACTTTCCAAATAGGTGAAGGGTGCTATTGATGTTCTTATATCACTTTCATTTCTTTGTGCCCTACTAACTTATTGTACAATGGCAGGATGCGGGATTTTCGGCTGCAGCTGATGCTACAAGAGCTTCTGTTTTCCTTGCACTGTTGAAGGTGGTATCTTGGGGAAGATTGTTTTCTTTCTCTTTCTATTTAACCTTGTTCTTTCCTGGAAAAGAATGAACAAGAAAAGATGTCCACTCAGGTGGTAAAGGACATTTATATTTATTTTTTTTGAATTCTTATGGTAATATAAGGCAACTACGTCCTGTGTAGGATTCTTGCATTTGAGGTTTGTTCAGAAGATCGTTGCAAAGTTGATTTTCATTGATACAAAACTAATTATAATAGTCTGGCTTTTCCTTTTAACTTGTTTCCTCTGTGGCTCTGTGCTAGTTATCCCATTTGCTTTATGGGATATTGCTGCTAGTTTCAGTTAACTTTTGCTACAGCATTGGAATGATCCTATGTTTCCCTCTTTTTCACCATTTTCAGCTCATTATGACTGCTGTAGCAGTGGTAGTTGTTGATAAGCTTGGGAGGAGGCCTCTGCTTCTTGGAGGTGTGTCTGGGATTGTAAGTAACTATACCCTCTTTTTCATTTTATATGGCAATGTTTGACTGGACAACTAAGTTTTATATGTTAATTTGACTTGTGTATTCTGTTAGTAATATATAGTATTAAACCAACGGTAACTGGGTTGAGGAAACATTACTTAAGAGTTTAAAAATAGTTAACTGTATTTGTATTCTATAAAGTTATGGAAGTTGTATTATATGATATTTTGAATGGATTGTTGTCAAACATGCTGTAGCATCCCAAAATGAAAAGTATCACGTATAGTGAGTATTAATTTTATAAATTATGGTTTCAGAATGCCTAGTAAGGTGGATTTGACATGTTTAATCTTGGATAACTTACTTGCAAAGAAGCAACTTCATAACAATCAATGCCAATTTTTCTGAAGCTCCCACTAATCATGTATTTCTGCAGGCGATGTCACTTTTCCTCCTGGGATCATATTACACTTTCCTTGGTGATGTTCCAGCTGTGGCTGTTACTGCTCTGCTACTGTATGTTGGCTGTTACCAGGTAATTCAAGTTTTGTTTCTTTCAATATTTGTGCTTGGAAGTACTACAATAGATTTGTCTCCGTGAGTCTTAGCTTTTGGCTATACAGTATAAATGACATCACGATTTCTGTGCACATTTTATTTTTTTGAGGAAGATAAATTGAAGTTCAACTTTGAAATGTTTTTACTAGTTGCAGTAATTCTAGATTTTTTTTTAAAAAAAATAAGCAACAACCTTTGTTCATCTTTTACCCCACTGGTATGGTGGAAATTATTTATTTGGACATTCTGAATGTTCATCACCTGAAACTTTCAGCAGACTTTGAAGTAGGCTAATCTTATTGATAACTAGATTGAAATGGTTTGCTGATATAAGATGTTTCTTTCTTCTTTTCAGTAATTTTACACTAGCAGAATTTTTTTTCTGAGAAGGTAACAAAATCTGTATATAAATCATCAGACAAAGAATGAGTGTTTTACATCAGAGGATCCAGACAAAAGCAGAAACAAAAGACCAACTCCTAGCTCTTCTAACAAGAAACATAGAATTTCAATAATTAAAACTGGATCATCTATATGTTCTGACTTATACCCCAAAAGCAAAACAGAAGGATACAATTCATTTTTGATTCTTTGCAAGGGGTTGCTTGTATTTCCAAAACACCTTGAGTTCCTTTCCTTCCATTTTGACCACCAAATTGTTGCTGAGACAATTTTCCATCTGTCTTTGTTTGTGCTGCATTTGCTCTCTGTGCTCCATCTTGTCAAGACTTCGAAGGTTATTCTTGGCATTTCCCACCTGATACCTCTGAGGTTGATAAAACAGATCCCATAAGTGGCCGGTCACTTTGCAGTACAGAAACAAATGGCTAAATATCTCTGCATTTTTTCCACATAAATAACATCTTGAACAAAGTTGAAATCCCCTATATCTAAGATAATCATGAGTAAGAATAACTTCCCTCAAAACCAACCAAGTGAGACATGCCACTTTGTATGGTACCTTTGCTTCCATATAAGTTTCCAACGCAAGTAGCTGAGCAGTGATCCCTCTTGATTCAGGCCTTTGTATGCAGAGCTCACTGTGTAATCCCCTTTACTATGCATTTTCTATGTGAGTGTGTCTTCTCCTTCCTGCTGTCCTTTGCACTGTTTCCTTATTCTAGCAGAGGTTATGAAGGAAAAAGGTAGGAGACCATTTTATGACCGCTAGCCACCATCATTTTGCAGATCATGAAATTAGATCGCAGATCAGTAGAAGAAAAAAGTATCTGAAAGTTAATTACTGAGGTACTAGAAAATATATTTTAGTCCACTATAGCCCTGCGTTAGATTATGTTATAGATTTAAAGGAGACTTGGGTCTTTGTTGAGTATGTGTCGAAATTCAAAAGCATTAAGTCTCCCACAAAACTCTCGTGCTAGTCTTAAGTGTATCCATTGAAATTGTGATAAGTCTTCCTTATTATTAATCTAGTATGTATATGTCCATGTCCAAAAAGTCTAGAACATTTGGACAAAGGATTTGAAAGACTTTTTCCACCGTTTCCTAAGGTATTAGTTTGCAACAGCTGGTTGAACCCCAAAACAGTAGTACTTCCTGGTTTGTTCCAAAGAAGTGAGGTTGTGGGCATATTCTACTTTGGTGTATTGATAATACCAAGATAACATCTGCAATTCTTTCTGTGATTCGTGTGCGCTATTTTTAGATTTTAGTTAGAAAAAAATTGTACGATATTCTGGCCTATGGTTTTTGTAATCGATCCTCTTGCATTTTATCATGACTTCTTTTGTTTAACTATAACATTCCTTGAGCCACAAAAAGAAAGGAAGAAAGAAAGAAAGAAAAAATCCACAGCATCTCTATCCAGCTTGTTTTGGTTTTTGAAGCTTGACCAAGTAATGCTCTTAACTTCTTGAAGTCATCTTTTGCAGTTATCATTTGGTCCTATTGGTTGGTTGATGATCTCAGAGATCTTTCCCTTGCGCGTTAGAGGGAGAGGGTTGAGTATTACAGTTCTTGTGAATTTCGGTGCAAATGCACTAGTGGCATTTGCATTTTCTCCTCTCCAGGTACTGAAAACTTTTAATACTCTGAATTTTCTAAATAATACTTTTTGCGTTTACTCTGTTAAAGAATTCCCTTAAAAGCAACTTTGAGGCATGTTATTGTGATTTGTGAAGGTTAGTCTGTTGTCTATTCGTTCGAGGAGTTTTTTTTATTTTTCATTTTAAGCCTAATCTTGAAAAAGTAAAAGATAAAAAAGATAGAGGGTGAAATCAGATACTTGAAATTGGTACTCTTAGAAAATCATATGATATATTCCTTTTACCATAAAGAACTAATAGTACCCACTAAGATGCATCTCTTTTGCCTATCACACAAGTTAAGATTTTTTTGCTCCAACCTGGAGTATCTTCAAGCTTGTTATGTACTTATGTGCAGATATTGTACATCTTTAGTTTTTAATAGATTATATCTTAATAGTAAATTTGAAGATTTGACAATGTATTCTGGTGCAATTAATGGAAGATAAAAGGAGGATAGTGGGTCTATTAGGTGCTAATACTGGCTAAGTCTCATTGTTAGTGTTCATCTTCTGCTGATTAGAATCTGCCTGCATACGGTTGAGCTTTCGAAATCACTTGTCTCTTTGATTATATTGATCAATCATAATTCCTTAATCCAGAAATAATAGGGGCAGGGTACATACTTCATCTATTTTGCTCTATCTGGACACATTTCACCTCAATACTAAATGGGGTTCTTAAAGCTAGATTCTCTCTTGTTCTTACACTTGTCCCTGCACTAACATTCTGGTCTAAAATGACTTCTGATTTGCGACAAACATAAGAAGTAGTTAAATGTATGAGTATCCATCATGATACAACAACAACATACACAGTGTAAATCCATAAGTGGGGTATGGGGAGAGTAGAGTGCCCATCATGATTTTTAGATTAAATTAAGATTTCAGTTACAGTATCGGATCTTTCCATCAGTATCAAATTAGAGCGGAGGATAATTTCTTTTATTTGTTAGATTGAAGATTGTAAGAGGGACCAATAAGACACAGTTGTTACCTCATGCAAGCATGGTTTATGATTGTTAATGGATCTCAGAAAAATGCATTACTGAATGATCTGACACACAGCCAGGGATTTTTAAACAACAACACTGATGGATTGTACATTCAAGGCTATTCTCTTGGGTCCCCACCCTTTTTCCAACTTATGTTAATTTTTAAGTGGGATTATTTGGCTTAAAAATGGATGTCATCAAAGAAAATCAACTTCGAGCCAGAATTGACAAATGTTATATTTTTGGTTACTCCTAATTGCAGGACTTACTGGGGGCGGGTACTGTATTTTTCATCTTTGGTGGAATAGCTGTTTTGTCTCTTGTATTCATCTTCTTCATCATACCAGAGACAAAAGGGCTCACTTTGGAAGAGATTGAAGCCAAATATCTCTAGAACTCACATCTTACTTCCTCTCCATCTCTCGGGCAATAGAAAGTACGCCTATCAGCCTTGGTTAAGTTATGTTTTTCATACTTGAATGTCTCCTTATCAGAATACTTGAGGCAATCAAGTTGGTCTGCAACTGTTCTCTCGTAACACCAGTATGCAAAATCAAGGGCTGGTAATTAGCCTAGTTGTGTAATCGTGAGTATTATGTCAATCAACAGTGGATCATTTACTTTGTACAAAGTGAAAAAATGGAAAGAATACTGTTCCAGTTCGTTGTTTAACTTGATTCTTTCCTTCAAGGACACTATTTTGGCGCAGTACACCTGCTAGAATGCCAGTGTTGTTAGTATATGTTTTCTCTATTGTCCTTTTGATCATTTCCATTCATAAATTGGTTATCTATTTAATGGTGGGGCGCTACCTTTTTTTTTTTTTTTTTTTTGGCGTATTACTAGTATTTAATGAAGATGTAAAATGAATCCAAAGATATTATAAAGTGGCAAGTTTTTTTTCTTGGATTGGTGAATTTTTGTTTAGAAAAAGACCAAACGTTAATTAATTACAACACAAGTCCGTATAAATATTTTCCTTTATTGAAAAAAAATATCATGGCGTGAGATTCTATTTTGGAGTATTACCGTTCCATTTATTTGACATACATTATTCAAATAGATTTTATTGCATCACATATTACTGCTAAATTATTTTAACTTTGAATATTGAAAAAATTGCAAAGTTATTACTATTTGTATCAAAAGAATATAAATTGTGCCCGTTTGAATTGACTTATTTTAGGCGTTTTTAAATCAAAATAGCTTTTAAACAGTTTTGAAGTATTTGGGTTAAGTTTAAAAAAATGTTTATAAATACTTATTTTTAAGTCAAAATAACTAAAATAAGTCAAAAGTCATCCCAAACACTTTAAAACTGCTAAATGTTATTTTGGCTTTAAAACACCTAAAATAAGTTAATCCAAACGAGCACAAAGTTCTAAATTGTTACTTTTAACTTATAAATCATAAGCTAAAAGTCAATCCAAACATGCCCTAATACATTAAAAAGCTAAAAATAAATGAGGAAAAGATTAAAATAGTCCCTCTTCTCTGGGCTAAGCTTCAAAGTGAAACTTGTGTTTTCACATAGAGTACTAATAACCCCTATTGTTTGCAATATTAATACATTTTTGATCCTCCTTCAAAATTTTATGTTTTTTTTTTTGCATTGATTTTATCCATAACCTATGTGTGGAATGTATATTACATTTAGTAGAAATAACAACTTCATATCAAAGAATGTGAGAAGAAAAACACTCTGTTTTGTTTAGTAGAAATCATATTAAAGGTAAAGTTGAGAGGTTCATCACAATAATTTCACGTGCAATTTCTTTTCCTGCAAATTCATATGTTAAAATATTCTTAGTTTATCTACAGTAATATTTCACGTGAACAGAAAAAAGGTACTTTTTTTAATCATGTCTCTCATATAAAGTTATTATTTTTATTAAATAAATAAATAGAACAGGGCATGTGGACCGGGTTCGGTACATTTAACACTAAACCGGTGGTTCAACCTAAATATAAAGTGGCAGAGAGAAACAGAACTAGGGTTTAAGAAGAAAAGGTATCGAATAATGGCGAAATTTAACGAGGTGCAGAAGAAGAGAAGAGCAATAATCTCAGAGAGCAAGAGAGCAAGACATGGAGACCCAAATACCCGTAAACTTAAGCAGAAAGTCCAACCTCTTGCTATCTCCGGGAAGCGTAAACGCAAGCTCTTCAAGAAATGGCGCAGGGTCTGTAATCATTTATCAGTATTAGTTACTTTTAATCTTCTAATTATTATTGTATTTGCGTGTATTATGAATTTGTGATTTGAGGGTGTTGATTGATGTGAAACAGGAACAAAAGGAGGCTGTAGAAAAGGGTGTAATAACAATGGAGGATGTGGAGATGGCTGTGGCTGATGCTGCTGAAGGTATGTTAGTTACGGTTGTAGCTGTTTCTACGGACCTAGTGTTTAAGTTGGAGGTTTGAACTTTGAACTCACAGCATTTTGCTTATGATCTTGTCTTGTTGTGTGTGTGTGAGAGAGAGAAATCCATTAGAATTAAATTAACTGAAATGTCTGTTTTTAGGTGTTATGGTATTTGATTCTCCAACTAGTGGCGTAACTGGGAATTTATACAAGGGGGGTGTGTGTGAGAGAGAAATCCATTAGAATTAAATTAACTGAAATGTCTGTTTTTAGGTGTTCTGGTATTTGATTCTCCAACTAGTGGCGTAACTGGGAATTTATACAAGGGGATTCATACTAGAATGACATAGTTGGGATTGAACTTGTGACCTAAAGCAACTTTTGTACGCCCTTGATTACTACGTTATGTTGATGGGATTCATCAGTTTATATATAACCTTTGGGGTGGCCTGGTGGTTTGGGCTTGGGACTTTCATGTTGGAAAAGTTCGAAATCCCTTGCCGGCGAAAGCAAGGGTCGAGCTCGTCGCGCAGGTTAACTCTCCTATGTGGTTTGCAAGCTATTGCATCAGAGCATTTTTTTTACCCTGTGCGCACCAGAGGGGTTGTGGCTGCGGGTTGTCCTTGTCATAAAAAAAGTTTGATTTTTGTCCTATTTACACATCATAATCTTTTAAAGTATGAGATTTAATCTCTTATTAGCTTTGTCCCTGGCTCTAGCTTGTTAGAATTCAGAGTCTAGTGAGTCTACGTCTTGGATTTTATTTGATCTAAGCTAGAGTGCTATAATGTTAATCCTAAATCCTAATCAATTTCTTAGATAGAGCTGGGATTGCTGGTTCAGTAAGTAGAAATTCTCATCTTTTTGTTGTTTTGCTGCTTGTATTTACGAGTGGAGTTATTGCTTCCTATGATGAATATATGTTGCTTATATCTATGTGATATGCTTAAAGTTTTGGTGTTTTTGGTAGTTGCTATATCTACTCTACTTTCTGTTTGTTTCTCATCTCTTTTCCTTATGCACATGGTAGAAAGGATGTATGTTCTATGTCAAACTGATTGATATTTTCCTAATTGCTTCAGGGAAAACTCAAGACTCCAATAAAGCTCATGTTAAATTTCCGATGAAAAAGAGCTCAAAACTTAAAATGAAGCAACTGAAGAAGAAAGGCAAGTTTATAGTAGAATGCTATATTTAGTCTTCATTCCGAATTTATTAGGGTTTGTTTGTTGATTTTGCTTATTGATAATTACAAACATACGTGTTACAGGAAAGAGCAAAAGGAAATCTGTTAAGCAAGCTACAGAATCTTCAACAGATGCAATGATGGAGTAAGAATAGCAAGAAGGGCATTAGAATCATTCGGCTGGCTGCTTGATAGACAATGTCTATCTTTCTCCTCGTCCCAACGTCCTTAAAAGTTAACAATGGCTTGGTAATCTACTTTTGTATTGTCTCGCTACTATAAAGGAGAGGCGGGT